GCAAGAATCTCTAATACATCATATTCTATAAGCAATGCCTTTTTATTTTTTATTTTTTAATTTTATTTTATTTTTTGGCACCAGGGATCAAACTCAGGACCTTGTGCTTGTGAGGCAGGTGGCAGAACCACTAAGCTAAATCCCTGGCCCTAAGCAATGTCTTTTTAAAACATCATTATACTGTGACAGGATTCATTATGTCTCTTAGAGGGTTTCTGTACCTAAGACTTGTGCCTGTAAGAAAAACTTCAAACAGTAAATGGAAAAATTTCAAAATACTGCACTAAGAAGTTTTTTTTGTAAACTAGCCATCCACTTTTATGACTTATTTCACATTTTTACTGCACAATTATATTTCAAGAAGATTTGCTTTGAATAAAAATAGGAAATATTTCAATGAGAGCCTAGAAAACAGAAGTCACAAAAAGGACTGGTAGTAAGGTGTTGACAAAAAATAGCTTATTTTGTGACAATTTTATAGTTTATTGTTTATACACTCCAAGATCTGAAGTCAGTTTTCACCTAGAAATTTACCAAGAGAGGTAAGAGCACTCATGATTAGTGTCTCAGAAAACTTTGTTTTCAGTAGTCTTAAGATCCAACTAGACAAATGAGGTGAATGATTGCCCAAAGCCTATAAATTTGAAATGCTTCACTGGAGAAAATTAAGTGATTGTACATCATTGTTTTCAGCACTTGATCTAATCCCATTTCTTTGGGACTGTTCAGACAAAGCAGCTACATTCTGGGTGTCTTGGCTTTGAACAAGACTGAAGAACAATGGCACTACTAGAAAAGTTGATTCCAAAGCTGACCTCATCACTGTGTGCTAATTTAAAAGACAAGAACAAGAAAGTGGAAGACAAACTAATAAAAACCAACCAGAAAATATTGATTTTTAACCCAGAAGCATGGTGTTTGAAAGACAGTTCTTCAGAAAATACTTTCTTCTGTTGTCAAACAAGCACTGAAACTTGTCTTTCCTTCCAACCATTCAATTAGAAAAGAGACAAAGGAGTGGTGCTCTTGGCTATCAAACAAGTACAGGGCACAAGGTCCATGCAGGGTTGGGTTTCACTATTCTTTCAGACTCCCTCTTTTAATTGCTACTGTCTGGAAAAAAGACACACCCTTTCTCTTCATGAATTTTGCTGCTTTTCCCTTTTCTCTCATAGCAAAATCCAGATCTAAGTACAAGTAACAGTTATTGCACAATGCTGAAGTCTTTCAACTTCTAAAGTTAAATGACTTCTAGTCGCACTTTTTCTGCTAAGTTTGTATGCTTCTTGGGATAAAATGAAAGTGCAGATTGCAGCTGATTGATTCTGCCTGAAAGCACTAAATTTAAAAGTCTTCTATGTGTAAAGGTTTATATCTTTCATTTGTTTCTAAGTCTTAAAAGATCAGTAAGTTTTATCTTTAGACCACTGCGGGAAATACAAAATGAAAATAAAGTTTTCAAGGGCACACATATGAGCTAAACTATAAAATTTCTAAATACTCAGAGATGTATTGAGGGCATGTTAAGAAAACATAGGTATGTTTAGATTAATTCAAGCAAATTATTACTGAGTGGGGTGAATAAAGAGATGAGTAAAAAAATAAAAACTTTAAGCAGATGACTGTTTATCTCAGCAATAGGGTTGGTGGTATTCAGGTAAGAATTTGACACTTTACTTCTATTCCACCTGCATTCTTGGGGTATTTGAATACATCAGTTAAATTTCTGCTACTTTCTACTTAGAGGAAATGTAAATATGGTGAGCAACACAGGCTCTATGAATAATTTTAGTCATAAATGATTTTACCTCAGATATATAGACATAGCTATTGTCTACATAAATTCACCCACTTATGTCACCATGAAAAAAAAGTCCATTTATAAAGTGCCATTGTTCATAAATTATAAAGCCAGGAGGGATCCATTTGGATTCCTATGGATATTGCTTAAATAGAAAATTTTCATGCCACAATTCTAAAATAAACCATATACAGACCTCTTGTCACATGTAACTTTGAAGTTTTTTCAGTACAGCTACCTCATTTATCTGAAGCACTCTGGAGTCAGTGTCTCTTTGTAGTGTTGTTTGTCAAACGAGTCAAGCACAGCTTTAAAGTGTACGTGAGGTAACTAATCAATCTCCATGCCCTCAGACTGAATGCTATGCTATTCCCAGTTTTCTCTTGTATGCATGTGAAATTTAAATTATATATGCCTTTGATATCTTTATTTTCCTTTACTTAGACGTATTGCAGACAGGAATAAAGCTACCATATAATTAATAGTAGTAGTTTAGTAAGGTTTTAGCAGCCATTTGAGAGTACATATAGATATTTCTTTCTCTGTGTTTCTGAGGATGTATAGGCTATTCTTTTAGAAATAGAAACTTGATTTGACTAACAGGGCAGTTCTAATCAAACTAAAATAGTTTCATTTATCATTCATTTATTAATGACATGGAGTTCTTGTATAATCAGGTTAAAAGTCAGGGATGTTTGTACAGGAACTCTCATAGTCCTTGGTGTTTCTAAGTATTATGTTTCAAACCCTTACAAAAAAAATATCTACTTGGCTTCTGCAATTACAACCTCCTAAGGTATATTTTATTATTTAGGATCTTCTGAAATTACATGATCCAAATGTCTACTGTAAAACTGATTAAAGAGTCTGAGAAAATTGGAAAATATATAATAGATTAAGATGATTATAAAGAATAAATACACAGCTATGTGCATAGATTTGAGACAGAGAAAAATGGGAAAACAGAATCAGAGTGATGTATCTCCTTATATATTTATATTTATTTTATTTATCTTTTATCTATTTATGTATACTTCACACTCTACATTCACATACACTCAGAAGCACACTTACACACAAAGTAGAGGAGAGAGAGACACAGAGAGACAGAGAGAGAGAAACCGAGAGAGAGAGAGAGAGAGAGAGAGAGAGAGAAAGGAGGAATAGATTACTGCCCTAAAGCAAAAGAGAGAGAAAGAGACTTTTCAGGGAGTGCTTTCTCCTTTCCCTTAGTCCAACTAATAGTAATTAGCAGCCAGGCTACCATGTTAAAGATAAAAATAACTGAATACCCATCTAACCTAGAGAAAAATTTAAAAATCCAATTAATGTTTTAATTTTGTCATTGAAAACCATTACGAGACAAGTAGAGGTAATATAAAAATCACAGAAAGTTAAATTTCCCCGAGATCATAAAAGCTGCCAAGAACTCTACAAACTTCCTTTGTTTATAATGCAAAGTACCTAGTAGAAATATCTGAATATGAATGAAAGAGATTTTAGTAAGTGTGCGACATCCTAAAATCTATTTCAAAATTTTATTGGTCTCAAGAGTAATAAGCAGTGGGAATACTGAAGTTCCAAGATCTCTAAACTTTGAAATTGCGTAGTGCATTCCCCCAAGGATATGTCTTCCTTGGGGCTCCCTAGTTGCTCACCAACCAGCAAATCAAATATTAGTAACAGCTCCAAAAGACAGTGTTCTTTCAGATTGGCCTGTGCTCCATGCCAGTTCAAACCCTCTTGCAGTATTTAGATCCCCTTTCCTCTTCACTGAGGACTCAAGAAGGTTATTTCATGTCCTCAGTGCATGCCTCCTTTCTTGACCTGCCCAAGGAATCCTAAAATTAAAACTAAACAAACTAAAAAAAAGCAGAGTGATGAGACAGGTGGGCACTCCAGGGGAGTACTCTAACACCCACCCAACAGTGCAGACTCCAGCCCCCAGCAGGACCCTCTCACAGGATAAGACCTGGCACGGGGTGGCGGAGGTGAGAGTTGGAATGGTGCAAGGGGCCTGAGCCCAAGGGGATGCTCAGTGAAGAACTCCTGTCAATGGTCCTCATAGAATATCATGACCATTTAGGAATGTATCTTCCTTGAAATCAATACAGGCCCTTGTGTCTGGGAAATTGACATTCATATTATCTTTGTTAGTGGAAGTGAATGTTTAATAAAACATTTCCCTTATAACTGAGAACATGCTAAATGAACATACACATAAATATTATTTGAGCTGCAAGGTTGTCATTATCATTCCAATCATTCAGATGAAGTAAGATCAGAGGCATGGAGAACTCATTTAAAATATCTAGAGGCAGAAGCAGGATTCAATTTGGAGTACATGCAAGCAGAACCTACGTTATTTTACTGTTATGCTAACTGCTCTCCCATGGCCCACCAGGACTAGCTTGACCAAATAAATATGACTGATACTCCAGGTGTGGTCTTCCAAATTCAAACTAAGTCAAAGACAATGCTTTCCTTTTATATGTAGCGCTCTTTGGGTATTTAAAAAATATTGCACCAAAAGTCTATGTGTAATAGTTGGAAATCAAGTTATTCAGAAGATATTGTGCTTATAATTGTCTTCTTTGAATTCCTCCCCATTCCTGGTCCTATTTTTAGCTCTTTTTCTTTCTTGATTGTTTTTGTTTAAATTCTAGCTCATGGTGGAATTTAATGACCCTAATATTACAATTATAACTGTAATTATTTCTCAACAATATGTGTATAGCACTATTTCTTAATTTTTATACTCTTGAGGATAAGTATAAATTATAAACAATAATTTAGTCTACTTTTTGATAACCTTTGCTCTTAATAACTGTAAAATTCTCATTCCCATTTCATTCTTCTTTTATGGGTTCTTTACTTTAAATAATACCTCTGAACTCCATTGGCCCACTTCAAGTCGCTTTTATTTAGCATTTCCCCTCTCTCTTGTACTGCTCAAAGTCACTTTCCCTCCATCTATCTGAAAGATACAGCTTTCCTTTTGTATATACTGTTGAGGCTGCTAGTATTTACATTCCCTTCTCCAACCACAGCCTATGTCTTCTACTTGCAGGCTATCTGAAAATCAAAAGTTGTGACACCATGATATTATAGAAGATTCAATTTTAGGCATGGAAATCAAACATTTTGTAAAGTACCTAGCTGACAGTTGCAATGTTCCAAGAATCTCAATCTACAGTACCTGTAACTTTCAGTTTTTCTGCCCCAATGGTAATCGCATCTTCATCTGCAGAAAACAGCACTCTACCATCTTCACTTGCTCTCACCTCAAATCTTTTACACTGAGCTTCTACAGACTCCGCTCCTGTGGTCAGAGGAGAGAAAATCATTAATATGTAACTAAAAATAAATTCATTTAGTAGTTGCTTTTTCTTGGCTGTAACTTTGACATCTGAATTAGTCATTTTAGATTATTATCCTTTTCAAGAGGCTGGTAGAGAGTATTATGTGGCTAGATGCATTGGGCATAAAGTAAGTGTGAAATGTAAGCATTTCACATTGTCTTAATAAGGTCTTTATTAATAGGGTTTAACTAACTGAAAACATTCAACATATCCAAAGGAGAGACAATGTCTGTCTGTTCCTCCTGAAGGCTGAAGTCTCAGTATTGTACCTCCACCTGCTGTATGTGCAATAAATACTTGTTGGTTTAAAGACTCATATTTTCTCTCTGCATTGGAGAGAATACTACCCATATTGTGGAACCAGTGGTTACTTACAAAGTATTACTCAGTTGTGTGCCCTATTTACTCTACATTTCATAGATTTTAATGGTAACATTTGTCTACTCTTTTGTATTGCTAACTTTCAGTTTGTTTCATAGGGAAACTTGCAATTATTTCATTTTGTGAGTGCTTTCTTATATTTCTAATCATTTTTTATTAATTAAGATACATTAAATACATGTAAAATGGAATTAGAAATCTATTTCAAGTTTATCGGCAATTTTCCTATTATTCCATCAACAACAAATCCAATTCATATGTTTGGAAAATAAAATTCATTCAAGAGTTAGGAAAGATTTAGCAAGAAGACTTAATTGGGCCTCAAAAATAAATATTAATTGAGAAGAAGGAATTTGAAACAATGAATAGGCATGAGGACTTGATACTTTCACATCAACTGCTTTTGTCTGGCATATGGATCTATTTGTTTCCCTCATGCTAAGATTTGGAACACACCTTCTCAATCTAAATCAGAGCCTTGTAAGGTAGACCCCTGCCCAGCCAGGGATATAAGTGTGCCAAGCTGTATGCATACTTCCTTTATCTTTACTTATTATCATTACTTGTTAAGTATATGATCTCAAGAAGTCAAAACAAGAGTATCATTGTATTTAAATGTATTCATAAGTTGAGGATTGAGTCTAGTTTTAAGTAGCAATTAGTAGAGAAATGTTAAGTAGATGAGTAAATACTAGACTTAAACTTTCCTTCCATCTCTTTGACCTCCAGGCCCAGCTCAGCATTATCCTCAATCTTAGCTCATGGACTATAGGAAATTACACCTTCCTATTGTCATAGTTCCTAAGGAATGTTAAACAAAAGGAAAAAATATCAATTCAAAGCCTTCATGGCATGTAATATAATTTCTGTAACAACAAGATGTGTAGTTTTCTTATATTGTGACATCACATAAACAAAAAAATTGAAAAGTTTCAACTACCGCTATGTTAATAATATAAAACTAGTGCCGTCCTTGTGGGATTTCAAGTGTAAAATAGCCTCCATTATTTAAAAAAAAAATTATTATTTTTCTTCTTATTAAAACAAAGATCTTTCCTTACAGAATTTAACAATATTGGACACACCATTGAAAGCTCATTGTAATTGACCATAGTCATTATATTTGATTTTGTAAATATTATTTGAAATATTTTATTCATTTGAATGTTTTCTTTTAACCATAGACTAAACCTCCTTTAATGTACCTTTAGCCTTTGAACCATAGTAACCCAAATAGATGATATTCAAAACAAGGTGCTTGTGGGCAATATATTGATAAATGTGGCTTATTCTGGGATTCAATTCCCAGTGTTTAAATCTATTTTTAAGGGATGCAGTTATTCATTATTCCTAAAAATGCCTTCTAGATATTGTAGATATTTTACACATACAATCTTAATATATATACTACATGACTATCTTGTTTGGTTTTTTTTTTTTTTTTTGGTACTGGGGATCGAACTCGGGACCTTGTGCTTGCGAGGCAGGCATTGGAACCACTGAGCTAAATCCCCAGCCCATGACTATCTTCACATATACTCAAATGCTGAGCTTAACTGATTAACAAAATATATCTATGATTTTAATGGCAATAGAAGTACATTAGATCACTGTATGTACATATGTGTACAAACACAGATGTTATATATACTCACATTAGCAAGCCTTTTCTTGGAATGATGCTTAGGGTCTTTCAAAGATACTAACATAAAAGTGCTATATTGTGTTACATAAACTATTAGAAATGTAAGTATAGTGGTGTATGTTTATGACAAAGTGAGTTTAAATCTTAATTCATTAAATTTAAATGAGCAAAATTAAATAAGCAAACCAGAAAATATTTATGTACCCAGAATAGATGAGATGCATCTAAGCCAGAAATTAATGCATGCAGAATCATCCAATTGAAAAATAGATTTAAAATTAATACTCCACACTACACTTTATTTACTATATCAGCATAATTATGGAAGGCCAAATTGCAAGCAATTAGCAATGCATTGATAATAAATAAATATTACAAATCAGAAAATGATTGCAGAATACTGCAGCTACATACATTGCTTATCTTTGCTGCAAGTGAAAAGCAGTAAAATACATGATTAAAAATGAATTCAATTGCTGGGAAAATTTATGTTTGAAGTAAATATGTCAGCCTTTATGAAACTGAGGTTATTATACCTTAACCGGACTGTTGCCTATGCTTGGTCAAGTCAAGATGCAGTTGGTTGGAGGAGTGATAATGATAAAGGTCAGTTCAATTTTATCTGAACCGTGGTGCACAAAGTGCAGGGCCAAAAGCAAGTTCTTTCATAGCTTTTATGTTAGGCAAACTAAATTTCTATTTAGACAATTGCAATACTGACTTTAAAGACAAAAATATAATACCTTTTACACTTGTATACTTCGGTGATTACTAAACTAAAACAGAAACGACAAAAACAACAGTAATGATAATATTATTCATGTGACCAACTAAGGGATGAAAATAAATCTCAAAACTCAGGTAAAAAAACTATAACTGGAAAGGAATCAGGATTTAACTGGATTAGTTCACGAGCCAATTTATGCCTCAAAGCACTATTTCTTTTTAAATTAAACTTTCTTTTTATTTGTTTTGCTTTACTGGGGATTGGACTCAGTGTTTTCATACTGAGCAACATCCTCAGGCACTTTTTGATTTTTTAATTTTGAGATAGATTATTACTAAATCACTAAATTGCCTAGGCTGGGCTCTATAACTTTTGATCCTTCTGCCTCAGTCTCCCAGATTTCTCGGATTATATTTGTACACTACCAGGCCCACCAATGTTTGAATAAATAATTGCTGAAAACTTCCTAAAATTTATTTAAAAATAATAACCTAAAGCTCCAAGAAGCTCAATGAACACCAAATAGAATAAACAAAAAAGTTCCACACATAGACAAATCACAGTAAAGATGATTAAAGTCAAGGACAGGAGAGAATCTCAAAACCAGCAAGAGAATAATGACTCACCAATTTCTAGAATAATAGCTGACTTCTCATCCAAAACAAGAGAGAATAAAAAGTGATGGGACACTGTACTAAAGTGTTCAAAGGTGGAAAAAATGTCAACTATGAATTCTTCAGTCAGCAAGCTATCTTTAAAGGATGAAGGCAAAACATATTCCCAGACCAGTGAAGACTGAGTAAAGGTATTATTGACAGACGTACATTATAAAAAATATTAAAAAGAAGATCCTCAGGGTCAAAGCATGTGCCTGCAGACAGTGATGCAAGCTCACACAAACCATACAAAAAAATCTAGTAAAATTATGTCATTATAAAATTTCTTCTCCTTTGTCAACTGAGTGTAAAAGGAAAACCAGATAAAACAATTTCATAAAATTGTTTGGTCCTATACCAGAGTTGCACATCATATTTGCATCGAGTACAAAGAAGTCAGAGAAGTAATGTATTGTTTGATTAGAGATTTGACTCTGTATAATAGCATGAATCCATGGGAACAATTGAAGAGATTCAAAAGTGGTAAATAAAATCATTAATATAAAGGCTACAAATAGGTACTTTCCAGGTTTTTCCTCTGTCTGTTCATTTAAAAAGTGTAATAGTATATAAATAATAAATAACAATGCATTGTGGGTTTTAGCATAAATAGATGTAATATGTATTGATAATAAAACCACAAAATGGAGAGAGAGTAAGTGAAGGTGTTTAGAAGTATATATTTCTATATTTTTCTGAGGTTACACTATTAGAGATCTAGAAAACTATTAGAAATTAGAGATTCTGAAAATTTGAGATATATATTATAAGCAATAAAACATTAATAGTATTTATAAGAAATAACAAAATACTGTGGATAATTAAAATTTTAAATGTTATATTAAAAATGTTTAATGCAAACAGAAGCAGCAGATGAGGACTGGAAGGATAAAAAGACAGGAGACATATACAACAAGTGAAATAATAGGAATGCATCTACTGTATTAATAATAACTGCAAATGAAATAAAAAATTCAGCAAAAGACATTTTATGAATTTGGAAAAAGAGATACTGCTACATTGTCTATGTACAACACAAGACACACCTTAAACTCAAAAATTCAAATAAGTTGAAAATAAAATGATAGAAAATATTTTATCATTCCATCAACAACCAGTGAAAATCTGAATTAGATATAGTCTTTAAAAATTACAAGCTTTAAAGCAAAAAATATGTATTTCCAACATTACAGAGAGACTTAATATAATAAATGGGTTAATCTGTCACAAAGATATAATTATAAACTTTTATTTAAATAACAGCAGAACCCCAAACCACATGAAGCAGAAACTTAGACAAATGGAGAAATAGACAATCCAAGAAAAACTTTTGCAGACTTCAACACAAAACTATGGATGTGAAGCCCTTCATTTTCTCTCCCTTTGTTTATCTGTCCTGATCAAGAAATAGTGTCTTGTCTGGTCGGTGACCCGGATAGGTGTTTGTTTTCCCCTACAGGCTTGAACACAAACTAGGCCCTAGGAAGTTCTGAGGCACTATAAAGTTGTTTAGTTATTGCCTGAAACACTGAAAGATCAAAAATGTTGCTA